ATATACATACATATATATATAACTGTCATGTTTTAATTGAAGAATAATAAGAAGACAGATTTCATATAGAGAATTTAATATAAGCAACTTGCATCAAATAGCATTTTGTAAATCTTCTACCATGTAACATACTATAATATTTTACGATTATTTTACAGAGAGAAATACACACATTCTATAAATATGTTTGAATACAGAGCACTCGTCTGAAGTCTCTAATCTTACATACATTGCCATTTATACTTAAGCAATTTCTCTCTTCATTGTTATTCTCAATGTTATTTTATATAAGAGATCTGTTATCTTTTATATAGAGATACATTTTAAATATTACATATTATAGTATAATGAGATGTACATCAAATTAAATATTACAGTATAATGAGATGTACATCATGTTGTTGTCAATAAGTGTAAAAACTGATGTATTAATGTAACATTAATACATGAAAGATGTGTTAATAATAATTGTATATTACTAAAATAACGAAAATTTAGTAATAAAGAAAGAGGTATTTTTAAATATAAGTTTTATTTGTTGTATTTTTTTTAAGGTATTGAAAAGTCAGTTATAAATTTTCAGAGATTAAGTATTTAAAAATAAGATTATTTACTTCTGATATACGATTAACATCAATAATACTATATGATAAGAAAATAAATAACGCGTTATTATACATAAAGTTTAAAAAAATTACATATATGTGTTTTGCGCTGAGAGTGTGCGTGTGTATGTGTGTGTGTGTGTGTCAAACAAGCAGTTGTTTTTGATTGGTCGAGCAACAGGTGTCATGAAATTAACAGCTGATAAGTCAGAGAAGCTTTTTAAGTCGCATAAAATGGCGCGAAAGCGATACAATGCCAAATATTGAATGTTTACATTGACATATGTATTGCATGTGTGACTTTTTATTAATTTTTCATTATAACATCGGTGCGACAGATGATCAGAAAGACAGATGATGGAAATTAGAAATGATTTTTGAATACAAACATTTTTAACGATAAATGTAGACATAATTCATTATGCTGCAATGATTGTACAAAAATATACAGAGTTATATAAATCATCGATTGTCATTACGTAAGTTATGATTTAAAAGTCAACATAATGGAAATAAATTATCAATTTCAAGATTGTACGCGATGCAACCTTTTCTATGTTTGAGGTTACAAACACTGTAATTAACCTTACATAAGAGAGAAACAGAGAAATTATTTCAAATTTTAAGATCTCTGAGAAAGCTATAATTAATAAACTATTAATCCTTTTCTCTCTTTTTTTTAGTGCATGTATTACATGACAATTACTTTACATAATTAAATTTTAGTTCAATTATGTCAAAAAAGAAAAGGGATCATGCTTGGAGCGAAAATGGCTTTGAAGATTGGGTAAGTAAAAGAGAATATCAACATTTAATATTATATTTATCCACTTATATAAATTGAATTTTAAATTATTATACTAATATTAGATTATTCACAAATAAAAATTACCTCCATGTTATTTAATTCATGTATTTTAACAATGAATTTATTTTAGGGTGGTTACATGGCTGCAAAAAAAGCTAAACTTGAGGAGCAGTTTCGTGACACAGCCAATAAAGAATTTAAAGAATCGTCGAAGCTATTTGAAGGAATTGCAATATTTGTAAACGGTTATACAGATCCAACATCTGATGAGCTGAGACGTCTAATGATGATGCATGGAGGCCTGTATCATCATTATATGCGTCCTAAAATCACGACTCATATTATAGCATCCAATCTACCATATTCTAAAATAATAATGTACAGAAAGAGCCAAAATCCAATTCCTATATGCAAACCACAGTGGATCATTGACAGCATTGCAGCCGGAAAAGTCTTGAATTTTCAAAATTACTTACTTTATTGCAATAGCACTAATGTGCAACCTCTGTTGGCATATACATTAAACAGTAACAAGATTAAAGCCAATACTAGCTCAGCTACACACAATGAACAAAATATTGATAAGTCTAAAGCTTCAGCAATCATGGTTAACAATGAGACTGATATAAATAACAGAAATATATCGAAACACAATGCAATTAATAACGCATCAAAACATGATACAATCAGCACTTGTCAACAAGAACAATCGAATACAAGGACTTTGAATACAAGAACAAATGCACAATCAACAAGAGACGCTGAATTTTTGTCAGCATTTTACAGTAATTCGAGATTACATTATATCGCCACTATGGGAACCACTTTTAAAGATTATGTTAACGAGCTGAGGGATAAAAGTGATGGGGTATTTTCCGGACTTGAGCATTTAATAAAATTAAAAGAAGCAAGAGGCCCTTCAGCTTCAGGTGATTGCGAATCAGACCCTGAAGATGAAATAATATGTTATACAGATAAAGTAAAACACAAGCGAGAATCTATTATAATGCATATTGATATGGATTGCTTCTTCGTGTCTGTTGGAATTAGGAATAGACCGGAATTGCGAGATCAACCGGTAGCCGTAACACACGCAAAAGGCAATACATTTTCGGCAAATTACGACGGCAAGGAAGAATTTGGATCATTATCGGAAGTTGCTTCGTGCTCCTATGCGGCAAGGAAGGCTGGTGTAAAAAATGGCATGTTCCTGGGAGAAGCGCTGAAACTGTGTCCAAATCTGAAAACGATTCAATATGATTTCGAGGGTTATAAGGAAGTTTCTTACATATTATATGATACGGTAGCATCTTATACATTAGATATCGAGGCAGTAAGTTGCGACGAAATGTATGCGGATTGCACAAAAATTCTTGAAGCGTCTGCATTGTCACCATTGGAATTTGCCACTATAATCAGGAAAGAGATAAAGCGAAAAACAGATTGCCCGGTGTCCACAGGATTCGGCAATAACAGGTTGCAGGCGAGATTGGCAACGCGAAAAGCTAAACCTGATAATCAATTCTATTTGAGTAAACAGAATGTGGAGACATATATACGGACTTTAGATATAAGAGATTTACCAGGTATATTTGAATTATCAATGTCGTTTACGATTTTAAAAAATGTGTGTGTGTGTGTGTGTGTATCTATAAAAAAACGCACACTCTCATATTAAAAAAATATCTTAAATTTTTTTTTGATAAATATGAAGTTTGTAGAAATATGTATGTTTTATCCAATGAACATGAATATTGTAGCCTGTGTGCTTCCATTTTCATTTGATTATATTTTATATTTTATTATATTTTATCTTAATAAAATTAATTTGTCTCATCTCGATATTTTAGGAGTTGGTGGAACGACAACACATAAGCTACATAAAATGAATGTGCATTCATGTGAGGATCTGCAGAAGATTTCATTGAGTGTTTTACAGAAAGAATTCGGCAAAAAGATGGGAGAGCAGTTGCATAAAATGTGCCGCGGATTGGACGACACAAGACTGAATCTGGAACATGTCAGAAAATCAGTATCAGCTGAAATCAATTACGGTATAAGATTCCGGAACGATAACGATGCCATCGATTTTTTGAGCAAATTATCCACGGAGGTGTGCAATCGATTAACAGCAATTCGTGCAAAGGGTAGATGCATCACGCTAAAACTCATGGTCAGAGCCGAAGAAGCACCGATACAAACCGCGAAGTTCATGGGTCATGGTCCCTGCAATTATATAACAAAATCGAAAAATCTTATAGCGGCTGTCGATGACGTCAATATTATCAGAAAGTAAGTTTCTAATGCTGTTGATTCGTTGCGTATTAATGTGTTCTATTTATCTTGCGTATTTATATTTTATAAAAAAAAAATATAAAAGAATTAATGTTTAAGTATGTGTGTGTGTGTGTTTTGCTATGCAGGGAAGTTATAAGCATTTGGAATCAATTGCATTTAACACCTGAAGATATGAGAGGAATTGGAATACAAATAACCAGATTAGAAATATGTAAGACTAAGCAGAATAAAGGCAACTTGATCAATTTCTTTAGTAAAAATGCAAAATTACAAACATGTGACCAAATGTTGAGTAATGACGATAAAAATCGACGCGACTCGAATTTCAGCAAGAGTTCTAAATTGGACAGTTCTAAAATGCCTTTAACTGCAGAATCATCACTCGGAACAAAAAATATTTTTGATGCAAAAATTAATAATTTGATAGAATCTTCCAATGTACATAAGGATGAATGTTTACCAATTCCATGTAACATTCAAACTAAATCGACGACAGCTGAAACAAAAGATAAAAAATTACATAATTGTAAGGCACATGAAAATATTACTAAAGCAAAAGATTTATCTGGAAAATCAAGTAAGAGAGCGATACAAAGACAGACATCCCAAGAGAATTTTTTCAGACATACGAAACCGAGTAGCGGAAAATCGTCGAAATACGAGATACCGCAACTACAAGACATTGATATGTCCGTGTTAATCGAATTACCCGCGGATATAAGAAACGAGATATTTGACGAATACAAAAGAAATAAGAGACAACAGTCTCACATAGCCGCGCACATCGCTGATCCGATAAATGAAGTTTCGGATGACGAAACAAGTTCAAATACACAGAACTTTTCGCAAGTTGATCCGGATGTTCTATCAACTTTAATGAAAGACGACTTGCATCCCGATGTGCAACGCGATGTGCAGGTCTATTGTAATATGAAGAGAGAAGCGAATAGAGTAAATTTGAGAGAAGCCAATAAAAATAGAAGTAATGAACAATTGCAAGGAGCAAGTTTGTTTTCGAAGACCAATGATAGTAATAGGAATACGAAAAATATTGTAAATAATACTCGTATAAATGAAACTGCATGTGTACCGCAAGAAGATAAAATATTACATGCGAAGGACCAATTACGCGAAAAAGACTATATCAACAAAATAAATTCCACATTGTGTCGCCATAATCGTATCGAGATTTCACACAATGATGCTGCGATGGATAAAGCCGATACCTTTATTTTACAGAATTTAAGTATTTTACATAACAATGAGAACATAGATAAACATCAGGAAATGTTAATTACTCTCGTGAATCATCTCTTCGCTCTTCCATTGCAACAGGTACCACATATATATAATCATTCGTTAAAACAAATTATTAAGTAGGAACTGAGTGTTCGCGTATTCTATCTTTTTCTTGTGAGATCTGGCGCACGTAATTGTTGCAATTCCAATTGATATTAAACAGTAATATGTATATGTTATACAAAATTATATTCTTAGTAAATAATACAAATTAATTTTCTGCCATAATAACATATCAGAATCCTGTCTCTTTCTCTCTCTCTTATATTTACCAAATTTTATATTTTACAAAAAACGGCAATTTTTTTTTTCGAAATGTGACATTTTCTTTATCTGCAAATACTTGGCTTATGTATACATTACACGTTTAAATCCCTCAATCTGTATGTAAAATCATCATGTAGATGCGTGCAATATAGTTAATATGTAAATATCGTAAATATGACCACATCATGCCGAACATTAAATGGTAATTGTGACATTGTCATAATAACGAGTAAAACCATGGAAAATTTATGTCTAATAATAAATAAACATCAGTGTCGGTAATATTTCATGAGAATTATTAGCTTATCACAGTACATTGCGCAGTGCCATTTTATTTCACGATATATAATTCCAGTTTTAGATTCTCTTATCATACAAATAGAAATAACCACACTTTGAAAACTTAGATCTAGTTTATAAACAAACGTGTGGTATAAATCGTTAACGCACTTGTTTTCATATATATGTATATCATTGAAATAAATAACTAAGAAATGTTCGATTTTTCTTCCATTATATTAAATAATTAAGAATCTTCAATGAAAAATTATATCTGCTTTTAATGCTTTGTAATAATTTCATCAATTAATATATACATACGGATTATTGTTAAGAAAAAACTATATTAAAATATATGATGATATTTTTTGGCCTCAGTATTGAATTGAACGGAATATTTTCATAGGTAAAAATACAGATACAAACATGGGTCACTAAGTCTAAAGTCGTGAATGAAGTGGACTTTTTATCACTTGCGACGTTCCTCAGCATGCTTCCACAGAAGAAACGTATCGAGGATTTGCATATCTTGTTGAAAACCATGCACAGGTAAATTATCTCTATCAAATGTTTGTATTGTAGTAGAGGTTTTTCGTTTTAACCGTAATTTTCCGTATAACGCGCAAATGGATAATAAATAATAATAAAGCTGGAGATTTTAAGCAATGAATATCGCTTTACTCGCTTATGATCGATAAATAAAAATATTCGACATATGATACATTAAATATTATTATATGCCTTCTTATGTCTGTATTGCAGATGTATAACAAAAATTGAGGACTGCACTTGGCATAAGACATACAGGAGAACCGTGAAACATGTTCAACGTTATATGCAGATAGAATACAACAACAATATAATGGTACCGTCGATCAGATGCAATGATTCGAGATGTAATAACGGTGATTGTGAATACGAAATCTCGGAAATTTAATAAATTAAGACTTCTATAATCAAAGTGTAGTAAATATAAGAAACCTATTTACAAGCAAACATATATAATACTTACCTTTAAATTTTTAATCGAACGCAAATGCCATTCTTTGTCTAGAGAAGCCAGTAATACACGACTCGATTAATGCATACCTTTGAAAAAGTTTGCTCGAAGGTCTTGTATAAATTAGTAAGAAGTCATTAACCTCGAATTCGTGTATCTTTATCGTAATATTATATATATATATATTTTTTAAATATACTTTTTTTCACTTTGTCGTTACGCGCGCAGGGATGGTGAAAAAATAGAAAGGGGCCAGATGAGCGTTCACTACTCCCATTCAGTTGTTCCCGGTGGTTTAGACGTTAGGTCATATAAAACGCGTGAAATACCGGGCACCGTGGATATTTCAGTCACCATCTTTTTCACCACCTGCAAAACATGATTGAAGTCAATTACAGATGTATTTATATGTACGATTACTTTTATGAGAGAGAATTTAAACAGCCTAACTATATAAAATTCCACAATATCATTCAACATTTTTTCTTTATATAAATTTCATGTAAATTTTCTTCATCGTCCTCCTATAAGAATTTATTATCTTTCTTTTCTTACGAATATATGAATGCAAATATAACATCAGATAATTGAATATCGATGCATCAAATATATGGATACAAATATACAATGAATAATAATCCATTGTGACATATATTATAGATATGGAAAGGTTGCATATGAAGCTTACATGTATTGGCAAATCTTTGCCGGGAATGGCGGGCGTGCCAGTCATAAAATCGTTAGTACAGAACGGCCTGAGCACAACGGAACGTTGACAAGACAGCGTTCGGCATGCCGCGTCGCGATCGAAGTGTATCGGGATTAGAACAATGGGCATCTGGCTGATGGTTCCCATACAGCCGTTTGAAGTTAACACTTGATTAGCCAAGTGATCCGCTTGCCGCAGCGTCGCTATCACATTGGAGGTGAGATACGTAGGCGTGATGTCCTGAATTGGATGATGAAGTTGCGGTCCGAAGATATAGCACACACGATTAACGTTGTGACACACGCGCGGGATTAGTTTTGCGAGGAACAACATATCTTCCCATTCCACTCCCTCGGATACAGTCTCTTCGCACGACAAGCCTACCACGTAGCTGTAACTTCTCCGATCGCCCTGTAAACAGATTGAAGATGTTTAGTATCCAAATATAACGAAAAATAGAATATCTTATTGACGATCTTAATTTCTTTCTTTTTCTTTTTGCAATAAGATTTTTCAAGTACCTGAACTCCTACACTACGAATGGGCAGGAGAGTCGCTGCGATATGACGATGACTCGAGACCCTGCGGAGTTGTTGACGTTCGAGTTCGGTCGTCGTGCCTTCCACCCGATTCAACAACGCGTGTTTCTTCTGAAGCATCTGCTCGTACTCTGCCATTATTTTGACTATCACCTGCAAGCAAATATCAATGTCAATTGAAGAGTTAACTTAAGGATTAATGTATTTGCTTCGTGCTTTCGTAATACCTGCGTTTCGGAAAAATCTTTTTCTATGTAAGGCTCATCCGCGCATAGGATTCGCACTGCGAGTCCAGGACCGGGAAACGGATGACGCGCGACGAGCGCTGCCGGCAATCCGAGATCGCATCCCAACTGTCTCACCTCGTCCTTGTGAAAATCTTTCAACGGTTCGACTACATGTCCCTGCGCTCTTAATACTCGCACAAGCTCGCTGTCGTTATGGTGCGTCTTTATGGCGTCCGCTTTACCTAAATGGATAAAATTCGCATTATTGTCTCACAAAGGAGTTAATTAAAAATTGTGAAAATGATACTTACCACTGACTAAGGAGCTTGCACTTTCTATAAGATCGGGCCTGAGAGTGCCTTGCCCGAGGAAAACATCCTCCGGCTTCAATCCCATCTCCGCCATCGCCTCATTTGCGACTCTTACAAAAACGTCCCCTATGATCTTTCGTTTCTCTTCTGGATTGGTAGTTTCGCATAACATCTTGGTTAATCTGGTTCTCGGGCTACTCGTTGCGCCGCATATTCCTTTATTATTCGTGACATTAGCGTTTATCATAGGCGCGACATTGTCCAATGGGACAGTTGTCGTGCCTTGCATGAAATAGCGACCAGCGTTCACTACTCTTAACGTTACACACAATTGGGCTAGACTTTGTTCAACGAATTGCGTTTCTCCCTTACGCATGAAACCGTTATTAATGTGTAGTGCTATAACTTGCTCCTTACTTAAAGCTTTTTGTAACAGAGCCGCGCACACCGTCGAGTCCACGCCACCGCTCACCAATAACTGCAAGTTTTTAGATAAATATTTTAATGAAATATCTTTCATTATATATATTTAAAGTTTTATACACTTTTGTAATATTATTTTAAGAGCTTAACGATTTAATGTGCGAGTGTTCATAAATTCCTTACCAAAACTTTTTTATCGCCTACAGTATTTCTGATATATTGTATACATTGAGCCTCCCGATCGCGGAGCGTATAATTGCCCGTAAGGCCCGCGATACCGAATAAAAAGTTGTGTAACATCGATTTTCCATTGGGCGTCAGATCCACTTCTGGATGAAATTGCACGCCATACAAATTCATCTTATCACTCGCTATACCCGCTATAAAGCTTGACGATCTGGCAGTAGTACGAAAACAGTCGGCTACCCTGTCTATGCTATCTCCGTGCGTTAATAGTACCATTTGTTCTTTGTCCAAGCCCCTAATAAATAATTTATCATATCTTACAAGTTTTGTGATATCATTAAAAATGTACTTTTGTAGAATCAGGCAAAAGTATTGTCTAATCAAAAAATATTTTTCAAATTGCAATTTACATACTTAAATAATAGGCACTTGGTATCAACTTCAATGGGAAATTGACCATCTTCTCGACTCTCCCTTCTGGTTACAGTACCACCAAATTCTTTGTTTATCATTTGCATTCCATAACAAATACCTAATACAGGGATTCCTATTCGGAAGATATCGGCATCATATCTGGGTGCATCTTCCGCATATACTGAGCTAGGACCCCCAGAAATTATAATAGCTCTAAAAAGAACAATGCGCACAATCAATAAATTCATATTTACTTTACACTAACAAGTCAAGAAATGGCAACAACAAAAAGAAATTTATATTAAACACATGCATATCTTACTTGTATCCTTTCTCTTGAAGAGTAAATGCCGGCGTTTCGAGTGGCAGAATTTCACTATGGACATTTAATTCACGAATCTTTCGGTCTATCACTTTTCCATATTGTGCACCTGCATCTAAGATAGCCACTCTTTCATCAACAATGTCCTTGGCTACTTCATCGGCACCGTTATTTCTCTCAGCGCGAAACAGCAATCCATCGCCACTTTTTTCCATTTCAATGTTACGTTTGTCAATATTATTATAGCTGTTATATTATTAAATCTATAACAATTTGATAAGAAAAGAAACATGTATAAAATATATTGACATGAAAAAATACATGTAAACAAACAGTATTAAGTGTCATTGAATATATAAATGTAAGAAATATAAATTATAAATTATATAATACGATATTTAATTATACTATAAAAATATATCTATAGAAACTTTTTCTACTTAAGAAAAAAATCTATATATCCATCTTCCTCACTCGCAAACATAATATTGTTTTATCTCATTCATAATTTCTGTGTATATTACAATGTAATAATTATATATACAATCTATCTAATGGTGAAATATTTTACTTAAAATGTTATCACCCTATTAGTCTTTACAATCTACATAATTAAACTTGTTCAACATTGTTATTATTTAATATATTTATCAATGACACCAATGACAAAGTTCAAATACATTTAATGCTGAAAACTTGAGCAACAAAATTAAATGTGCAATTAACTTGGCATTTCTTAGAAACGTGCAGGAATCATCTTTTGTATATTGCTTTAAACCATACAATACACACACACACACATACATATTTTATTAATTATAATAAAAAATTTACAAAATATGTAGATAGCATAAATATTTGCAATTTAATATTGACATATCACAATTCCTTAATAATGCAACATAGGAGCAATAAATACTTTTTAGCCACTTTATAAAAATGGATTTTTTAATTGATTATTGAACATGTAATTTTTTCTAACATTTGCATACTACTTTTTTTCCATTATATATATATATAT